CAAGAATGTTCATAGAAGCTTTATCATAATATCCAAAGTCTATGAACAGCCCAGCTGTCCATCTACAGAAAAATGGATGAACAAACTCTCATATACAGTGGAATTTGAGTGATTGTCATGGATCAAATTCCAAATATATGTGTTAACTTGGCTAGGCCGTGATTCCCAATATTGTGTGATTATCCTCTATTTTATAATGTATTTTAAATCCTAACCTCTGCCTATGGTTAGTGAGACAGGATTAGATTATGTTAAAGAGTATTGGGTTATATTTGCTATGGTAATGAGACAAGATTAGGATAAAATGCATCGCCCTTATTTAAATTACCACCCTTAACTCAGGTCACCGCCCAGATATGATGTAAGAGGAATTTCCCTGGTGTGTAGCCTGCACCACTTTTATTTTTCAAAAGACAAACGGAGAAGGAAGCAAGCAGAGAGGGAGGGACCTTAGTACCACCAAGAAAGAAGGGCCGGGAGTGGAGGAGCTTATCCTTTGAACCCAGGGCCCCTGCACTGAGAATCTCCTAGACCCAGGGAAAGATTGATGCCAAGACACATGGAGATCTCCAAGGGACACCAGGTCCACAGATGTTGAAAGAAGACAAGGACCTTCCCCAGAGGCAAAGAGAAAGAAAGCATTCTCCTAGACCTGACCCCCTGAATTCAGTTGTCTAGCCTCCTGTACTGTGAGAAAATAAATTTCTGTTAGGTAAAGCCATTGAGTTGTGGTATTTCTGTTATAGCAGCACTAGATAACTAGAACAGAATTCAGTTCCAGGAGTGGGATACTACTATAACAGATATGTAAAATGTGGGAGTGGTTTTGGAATTGGATAATGCATAGAGGCTAAAAGCATGTTAAGGTGCCTAATAATAAAAGGCTAGATTGCTTTGCAGAGATTGTTGGTGAAATTGTGGATGTCAAAGGCAATTCTAGTAATAGCTCAGAAAAGGAAGTGAGGAGAGGTATAAGATTGGAGATGGTGCAGACAGAGAGAAGCAGTGGCAGAGAAACAACAGGAGATGGGTGCAAAATAGTATGGGAGCTGACCCACAGAGCAAGAAAGCTTAGTTCCCTCAAACAGGAGGCTTTCTGGTGGAGTGAAGTGCCTCTGGGCACTTGATGGCAGAGCTAGGCTTGCCAGCCTATGGAACGAAAGAGCTGAGCTCCTTCTAGCCAAGGCTTACTGGCAGGGTAGAGTGCCTCCAGTGACGTACCAGTATGCTAAAGAGCTTTGTAACACTTACTTAAATCACCACCCTTCTTCTGGTCACAGCTCTGATCCAATATAAGATTAATTTCCCTGGAGTGTGGCCTGCATCACCTTTTATTTTACAAGACTATAAAATTAATACTCCTGCTTTGCCCAAGGATTAAGGAATTTCCCAGGATATGGGGCTGTTCAGTGCTAAGACCAGGAAACTCTTAAGCAAACCTGGAAGAGTTGATCACTAATTTTGTACCACAGCAATAAATAGACAAAACTGCTAATTTATCCAACGGCATGAATGAATCCCAAAAAGATTATGCTGAGTGAATGAAACTGTAAAGGTCTTTATATTCTTTTATTCCATTTCTATGACATTCTAGAATAGGCAGAAGTAAGTTGTGGTAAAAAACCAAAGAGAACATGTGTCTCTGAGGTCTTGCAGATTTGGATTGACTGAGGAGGAGTGAGAATTTTCTGGGCTAATGATAATGTTCTATGCTTGGATAGAGATTTGGGTTACACAGATGTACACATTTGTCACAACTCAGAGGGTGGTGATTTTCTTTATCTGCATATCTGCTTTCTATAAATGTTGTTATTGTTGTTAGACGCCATCAAGTTGGTTCTGACTCACAGTAACCCCATGTACAACAGAACAAAACACTACTCTTCATGTGCAGTCCTCACAATTGTTGCTATGTTTGAGCCTATTGTTGGAGCCGTGGTGTCAATCCATCTTATTGCGGGTCTTCTTTTCACTAACTCTGTACTTTACCAAGCATGATGTCCTTCTCTAGGGACTAGTCCCTCCTGATAACATGCCCCAAAGTATCCCAGACGAAGTCTCACCATCCTCGCTTCTAAAGAGCACACTGGCTATATTTCTTCCACGACACAAGTGTTTGTTCTTCTGGCAGTCCGTAGTATATTAAATATTCTTTGCTAACACCATAATTCAAAGGCATTAATTCTTCTTGAGTCTTCTTATTCATTGTCAACTTTCACATGCATATGGGGCAATTGGAAATACAAGGACTTGTGTCAGGTGTGGGAGCTCTGGTGGCGTAGTGCCTAAGGCATTTGACTGCTAACCAGAAGGCTGGCTGTTCAAACCCACCAGCATCTCCTCGGAAGGAAGGTTGGGCAATCTACTTCAGTAGTATTACCGCCTCAGAAACCCAAGGAGGGGTTGCTATGAGTCAGATCTGACTCGACAACAGTGAGTTTGGGGTTTTTTGGTTTGGGTCAGGTGTAACTTAGTTTTCAAAGTGACGATCTTTGCTTTTCAACATTTTAGAGATATTTTGCAGCAGATCTGCCTAATGCAATTCATCATCTGATTTCTTTACTGCTATCTTTAATCTTCATGAGTAAGTGCTTCACGTCCTCTTCACTTTCAACAAGTAAGGTTATGTCCTCTGCATTTGCAGGTTTTTAATGAGCCTTGTTTCAGTCCTGATGCTGTGTTCTTCTTTATATACTCCAGCTTCTCAGATTATTTGCTCAGCATACAGATTGAATAAGTATGGTGAAATGATAGAGCCCTGATGCACACCTTTCATGATTTTAAACTATTCAGTATCCCTTGTTCTGTTTGAATTGCCTCCTGGTCTATCTGTGCACAGGTTCTTCATGAACACTGTTAAGTGTTCTTTAATTCCCATTCTTTGCAATGTTATCCATAATTCTTTATGATCTATACAGTTGAATGCCTTTCCATAGTCAGTAAAACACAGGTATATTTCTTTCTAGTATTCTCTGCTTTCAGCCAGGACCCATGGGACATCAGCAGTGATATCCCTCATTTCACATGCTCTTCTGAATCTGGCTTGAATTTCTGGTAGTTCCTTGTTTATGTACTACTGCAGGTGTTTTTGAATTATCTTCAGCACACTTTTACTTTAGTGTGATATTAATGACCTTGTTTGATAATTTCCATTCTGTTTGATCACCTTTTGTTGTAATTGGCCCAATATGACTCTCTTCCAGTGGGTCTTCCAAATTTATTGGCATAACTGAGTGAGGGCTTCCAGCATTGCATCCATGTGTTGAAACATATCAGTGGGTATTCTGTCAATTCCTGGAGCCTTGTTTTTGCCAATTCTCATTGTCAATGCAGCTTGGACTTCTCCTTCAGTACTGTATATAGGTTCTTGATCATATACTACCTCCTAAAATGGTTAAATGTCAACCAATTCTTTCTGGAATGGTGACTATGTTTATTCCTTCTGTCTTCTTTTGATGCTGCTTGCATTTTTCAATATTTTGCCCATAGAATCTTTCATTGTTGCAACTCGAGGCTTGAATTTTTTCTTCAGATCTTTCAGCTTGTAAAATGCCAAGCATATTCTTCCTTTTTGGTTTCCTAACTCCAGATCTTTGCACATTTCATTATAATACTTTGTCATCTCAAACCACCCTTTGAAATCTATTCAACTCCATTTCTTTCCTTTGCTTTAGCTACTCTACATTCAAGAGCAGGATTCAGAATCTCTTCTGACATACATTTTGGTCTTTTCTTTATGACAACCAAACTGGAACTTCCAAACCACCCTGTTATGGATTATATTGTGCCCCACAAAATATATGTTGGAATCCTAACCCTTATATATGTTTGTAATCCCATTTGGGAATAGGATTTTGTTTGTTTTGTTAATGAATCTATATCAGTTTAGGGTGTGGTTTAAACCTAATCACTTATTAGATATAAAAAGAGCAGATTAGGCACTAAGACAGTTGAACACCAGTGGGGGAAAGAGAGATGCCACATGGAGATTGCCAAAGAACAAAGAAATGCCGGGCTAGAGAAGCGCGTGGATTTTTCCTTAGAGCAAGGGAGAGAACCCTCCCCTAGAATTGGTGCCTGAAATTCAGACTTCTAGCCTTCTAAACTGTGAGGAAATAAATTTCTCTTCTTTCAAATCACCCACTTGTAGTATTTCTGGCATTCTAGTATTTCTAGCAGCACTAGAAAACCAAGACACATTCTGTTGGGTATTTTTTTCTTCCCCTAATGGATCTCTTTGGCAGTGTTACTACTTCTCAGAATAATGTTTTTAATGAATAAAATAAAATACATAGGATTACAAAGGAAAATAATTATATTGAAATACAGCCCCATGTTAAGAATCCCTGCAAGAAGTGATTCCACACCCCACCCTAATATACACACTCCAGTTGAGAACCACTAAATTACAAGAACTTCCCATGTTTTGGGAAATGATAAAAGCCATTATATTAAAATATTCAAAATATGAATTAGAAAGTGCTTTTGGGCACCTAGATCCTGACATCACTGTAATGGCATCAATAGGGAACTAACATTAACTCTCTAATAAAATGAAAGAAATAGCATAGCAGCTATATTTCTATCTAAGTTTGTTTTGAAATTCAGTGTATCAAATGAGCTAATGCTTCTATTCTCCATCCTTTTCTTATTATGACTAAACTACCTTTCTGAATAATGGAAAGTTCAGATCTTTTGCTAACTTGTTCATTCACGTATTATTTAAGGAAGTAAGGTAACCTTGGCAGAATAAAATCTTCTGCCAGCTGCTACTGGGCAAATTGGCAAATAATTGATACATAGTAACAGGATAGTTTAAACACAAATAATTCTAAGAATAGGACTTTTAAAGCCAGATAATCAAAAGTTAATTTTAATAGGTGTCACTCAGTGTTTTATAGGAGTGTATTGCAAGAGTTGACCATACTGCGTGTGGGTGAATAACTTGCCATGATAAATATGCACAATATGATGAGGATTTTTTTTTTTATTCCTTTTAGGGTATGTCTCTGTGCCAGACTGTTGTTGTAGGCTCTGTAGTCATTCTTCTCTACTCTTCAAGAGCTTGTTATAATTTGGTGGTGATCACTATATCTCAGGATACATTAGAAAGTCCATTTAATTATGGCTGGGATAATCTTTCAGATAAGGTAAGTATCTATCACATATTGCCAGTCTAACAATGAGATAATGAAGTTAGCCTTAACCAGGAGATTAAGTATTTAACTTACAAACACCTTTATGGAATCTGTCTACTATTATTAATCATACTTAAAGCTCTAAGTTTAAAAATTCTCATGTACATGTCACACTTGAAATTATTCTTTAGAGGAAACTTTCTTCTAAAGGAGTATTTTCTTTTTTTTCATTTTATAAATAATAGTAATAGCTGGATATGGGTTATAAACCTATTTTAATTTTTAAAGGATAGTGTTTAAATAGATGTAGATAAATTGGTTACCTGTCATTAACCAGTGAATGTGGGCATATCTTTAATTTGTTAGAATGAAATTAACTCTCTTTTATCCAAGGACTACCTATAACCTAAATGTATATTTTAGTTTTAGAAGTTTAAATAATGACTTTCATGTAAATCTGGTGCTATCAGTCTTGTTAATGAGAGATCATTCATAGTTCCTTGGGTGTATAGGTATTTGCTACAGTAATTCCCAGTATGGTATTTGTTGTTGTATGGTACCATCAAGTCGGACCCGACTCATAGCGACCCCTCCTTGGGTTTCCAAGGCGGTATCACTACAGAAGTAGATTGCCCACCCTTCCTTCCGAGGAGTGGCTGGTGGGTTTGAACCGCCAGCCTTCTGGTTAGCAGTTTAGTGCCTTAGGCACTATGTGTTATTCAGTTTGACATAGCTATATTAGTTTTACTTTGTGCCGAATCTAAGGCATCTTGAAGTACACTTTACCAGAATTGCAGTTATCTTCCTAAGGAGAAGGAATCTTCATGTGCCAGATTTCCTCATTCTCTTTCCCATTTCCCTGGGTAGACTAGCAAGAAATTCAATGTAGAGGTTGGACCCAAAAGCATATATATTTTTTTTATTGTGATTTGGGTGAAAGTTTACAGAGAAAATTCATTTTCCATCTAACAGTTCACATACACTTTGTCTCATGACACCGACTACAACTTACCCCAATGCAACAGATCCCCTCCTACCACTTCCCGACAGTTACCTATCCCTGTATCCATCCCTCCATGCACTCCTGCCCCCTGAGCTGTCTCCATGTACATAAACAGCCCCTCTTTCTCCCATGGTGGTTCTCTCCAAGGAGCGTATCTAGCTCAGGTAAATGTTCAACTCATATACCTGTCTTTGTTTTGGCTGGAAGCCACAGGTATGGGTTCAGTTTCAGACCTAAAGGACAGCTAGGGGCCATAGTCTCAGTGGTTCCACCAGGCTCTATCAGACCAGCAAACCTGGTCCCCTTTTTTTTTTCCCCGCAAATGATTTTGAGTTTTGTTCCACATTGTTCTCCCTCTCTATCCAGGATCTCCTACATAGATTCCCCCTCCAAGTGGTTGACAGTGGTAGCAAGGCACCATCTACTACTTCTGGTCTCATAGTCATATAGGCTGCAGATCAGATGGTGTACCAGTCGCTAGGACTAATTGTTTCCATGAATCTTTGGTTTTCTTCATTCTTTGCTCTGGATGAGGAGAGACCCATCATTGCACCTAGATGGCTGTTTGCAAGCCTTTAAAATCCGAGTCGCTACTCACCAAAGTAGGAGGTGGAACAGTGTTTTGTGTAGTGTGTTATGGCGATTGAGCTTGATGTTCCCTGTGACTATAGTCCTGAGTCCACCGGTTCAACTACTCTTGCTTCCTCTAGGTAGCTGGCTGTGGCCAAGAAGTGACTACAAACTTGTCCCTTGTCAGTTCTACTATACACCTGGGAATTCTTATAGAACATACAAATACACTTGTAGAACCACTGTCTGCCAACTCTATACATGGTCTTGGGTACATTTCCCCCTGCATAGACATACCTAATACTTCAGCCTGTCCACCCATCTATCCACCCATATACCCATGTTTGCCTTCACTGACAACGCAGTTCTGTATGTGCAGAAGGGTTCATCTTTGTTGTCTATACTTCCCGTGTACCTCTCTATGTCTTCCTCTTCCTCAAGGCCACCATGTTGATCACTCACATTTGGTACATTGCTCTTCTCTTCACCCAAATAAATACTTATATCTAACAGTGTTCCCTACCCTCCCCTCCAATCCCTAATACCCAACAAAGAAAATTTCCTTCCATATATAAACTTTTCCTTGACTTTTTACAATAATGGACTAATACAATATTTGTCCTTCTGTGATTGATTTATTTCACTCAGCATAATGTCCTCCAAGTTCATCCACATTATGCAGTGTTTTGCAGATTCTGCGTTATTCTTTAGGGTTGCATAGTATTTCATTGTGTGTATGTACCATAGTTTGGTTATCCATTCCTCAGTTGATGGCCACCTAGGTTTCCATCTTTTTGCCAAAAGTATATTTTTAAGGAACAGCAGAGCTGAGTGACTTCATTTCTCTACAGGAGTAACTCAGAGCACATGACAGCATGTTGCCTCTGCAGCAGCTGGAATAAACAGTTTCTTTAGAACTACTCTTTTCAGACTATGGGACCTACAGATGAGACCACTGCATGTTAATCAATATATTAAAAATATATTCTCAAACTGATGCCTTGAAAAATGTAATTGTTTTTATTTTACTTTTAGGATGAAATTAACTCTCCCTTATCCATATAACCTATAACCTAAATATATATTTCTTTTCCTCTGAAAGATAAATATCAATACATAAGAAACCCAAAATTTAGAGAATTTTTAAGTTTTATGTGCTTATACTTGATAAATTTTAACTTACCCTTCTTAAAGCAAGTAAATTGTGGAGGATGATTGCTTAGACCTAAAACACATTTTAAAATTGCTTTGCTATGCTCTATTTACAGGCTCATATAGAAGATATAAGTGGAGAAGAGTACATAGTATTTGGAATGGTGCTCTTTCTGTGGGAACACGTGCCAGCATGGTCGGTGGTACTGTTTTTCCGGGCACAGAGATTAAATCAGAATTTGGTATGATATCATAGTATTCCCTAATGCCAGTTCTCCTTACTTTTATAAGATAATGGAAAGTTTATATTTTTGGCAAGGTATAAGACTAAAAATCATTGTAGACCCTTCCGTAGTTGAAAAATAAATCTTCACATGCTATCTGATACTTTGTTCACAGGCACCTGCTGGCATGATAAATAGTCACAGCTACAGTTCCAGAGCTTACTTTTTCGACAATCCAAGACGGTACGATAGTGATGATGACTTGCCAAGACTGGGAAATTCACGAGAAGGAAGGTAGATGTAATGAACGTCATTTAGCCTGAATTATTAATGAAATAGATTGAATATCACATTCTAAGTTTAACCCAAATATAAAAAAAAGGTTATTTGGTGGTCTGTGTCACTAAGATCATTTAAAATTGGAGTTTAAAGCAACAAATGATAAACCCATAGTTGGACCTGCCCTGTAAAGAACTACATTCTGACTCTAACCCCATATACTAATTACCTTTATTTGAGAAATATCTTTGGGTAAAATGGTACCATTTTCTTTCAGTATCCCATATCAGTTCAGAGCTGGGGGGTGGGCAGGGAAGGAATACTGTTATAGTGGAGATATATATATATATATATACACATACATACATATCTCTAGGATTATTTAAAATCTGCAGAGAAACCCTCGATAAAACTCTTGGGATGCTCAGGTTCCACAGGAAATCTTCCCATGCCCTCCTTGTTCCCAGACCATTACAAGTCTTAACTGGTATACCGTTCACTATGTATCAAGGCAATGTGAAAGCTGTAATTCACACCTGTCTAATGCTTTCAGCTTGATACATTTTCCATAATCCAGACTTCATCTGAACAAGTCACTTAGCCTCAGGATTTTGAGCCTCAGTTTTACATCTGCAAAATAGGGGTGATAATAGAACATCTGTTAAGTGTTACTATGAGTCTTAAAGGAGTGTGTGTGTGTGTGTGTATACACACATATACCTACCTACATATATATATATATGTAAATATACATACACGCACACACGTCTGAAATAGTACCTGTTGTACATATATATATATATATATATATATATATATATTTGTTGTTGTTGTTGTTGTTATGTGCCGTCGAGTCAGCCCCGACTCATAGCGACCCCTCCTTGGGTTTCCGAGGCAGTATCACTACGGAAGTAGGATTGCCCAACCTTCCTTCCGAGGAGTGGCTGGTGGGTTTGAAGCACCAGCCATCTGGTTAGCAGGCAAGTGTCTTAGCCACTGTGCTACCAGAGCTCCTATATATATATATATATATGTAAATATACATACACGCACACACATCTGAAATAGTACCTGGCACATAATAAACATTGTAGATGATGATGATCTAACAATCACGTTCTGTCAGTTCTGGATGGTTTCTATTTATTCCATTTGTAATATGATATGTGATGAAATCAAGGATATTAGATAAACATCATTAAATTTTGTAGGTCATTGTGTTATATGGCAAAAAACGTATTTCAATGTATTTTATTCTGTATTATAAAATTCGTTGAAAACTTTAAAAACTGATCATAGTTCTGTGCCTTTCTTTGCCTTTCTTGTTGCAGTTTACCAAATTCGCAAGGTTTGGGTTGGTACGGCACCATGACGGGGTGTGGAAGCAACAGTTATACAGTCACTCCCCACCTCAATGGACCTATGACAGATACTGCTCCTTTGCTGTTTACTTGTAGTAATGTAGATATGAACAATCATCATAGTTTATATGCAGCACCACAAAAGTGACAGCATTACTAAGTCATAATTCTGGAATTGTTTTTCATGAATGTGTGTGTTCAACGTGTTTAGATTCCATCACCATAAACATTTCTTCATCTGTTGCAACTGAAAACAAAGCCTGAAAATGTGGCTGTGTTAAGTGGAGGACACAGCTGTTACTAGTGACCTCTTCATAGTAAAATGAAGTAGAACAAAAAAAATTTGAAGGAGAAAAGAGGGATTAGATCTTAAGGTACTTAAAATGGTGTCCAAACATCCTGACTTTGGAACATTAAGTATGTATTTGCCTATTTGCACTTTTATCTTCGTTCTGAAAGAATAAGCTGCAGTCCCCCAAAGTCATACTCCAGTGGCACTGCCACATTATATTGTACACCAAATTGGGAGACAGTTTTCCTACATAAATCAAAGCCTGTATATTCAGTGGTGTCCTCTCTATGGAATTCTTACCCAATAAAAGTTTTATAGTGTGAACTGTGTACAGAATTAAGGCATAAAAATGTATCATTCTTTTTAAAAATTTGCTCAAAATATTTAATCATTGGAGATAGTTCTTTTAAGCATGAATTTAAAATGCCAACTGAAAATATTTAAGCAATTATTTTAAACAGATGCTAGTAGTGATTCTTTATAGTGATAACCAGTGTTGTTTGGAAAGCCACGGTCATTTCTTCAAAAAGAAAATATACCATTGAAAATTGTGTTGCTACTTTGAGTACAATTGGTCAAGTGATTATTTTTTAAGATTAAGATACAGGTAATAAAGCATGCTTCTTCAGGAAAGCAGTAGTGATTTTTGGATAGAGAAATTTTGGTAGAAACTTCTTTGGACTAAACACATTTACAGATGCAATTAAGAATTATTCCTAAAATGAAGGATTCTAAGTTAAACTTGGATACATATTAAAAAGCATTCTATTTAGCTAAAACAAGTTACAGCTGATCTTACCTATTGATTCAGGATTGTCCTCAGGTAAATTAAATCATGATACATTACTGTGGTGAACTCAAGTGCAATATTTTGTAAGACATATAATTCCTCCTTTTTAGTTTTCAGTTTTTTCTATTTGGACAAAGCCAAATTAAATTGATTTACAATTAATTCTAGCACTAGAATGAGTAAATTTATGTAAAAGTACTAACTAGGTAAGTATGAAACCAGTGGTTAACAATATTGGAGTACCTTTAGAATTACATTAAATCTAACTTGAATGTCCTATCCCAAATCTAAAAAATATATGGTAGGCTAAAATAAAAGAGAATTTAAAAATGCACTTTCTACCAGTGTCTGTCTGGAAAGTAGTAGATGCTGAATACCTCAAGATGCCAGTAGAACAGGCAACACTGGAAAGTTACCACAGCATGCTAAAAGACAACCAACTACACAAAAGTCTGCTGATCCCATTCAGAACTGAAACGAATATAACTGTCCTCTGCTTTGATTAGACAGTGATGTCTTATTTGTACTCTTAATTAAAACCTTTCAAGTTTTTAATAACTGATGCAGTACCTTCACAAAAATATATGGTAGGTGAAACCCTAAGGAAAAAATTAAATTTTTAATTTCAGTCTTTTGGGAGGTTGAAACACAGCCAAAGAAGTTTATTCTTTTTACAATATCTTTGCATTTTACATCTTTAAAATGTATTTGTTGTTTCACTAAATTACAACACAATTACAACACAAAATTATTTTTAATTCAACAAAATTATTTTTAATTCAATCAGAAGCAGTTTACAGTTATAATTTTATTTTGGTTTATTTATAACAAGTTCTCTCATCATAACACAATTATTAGAAAATATATAGTACAGAAGTTAACCTTGGTATTAACATGACACGTAACATGTGCTTAAATTGTAACTTCAGCTTATTAGATTTCTTTGGCTAATTATGTTAGGTATCTAATTATCTAGAGCTATCTGGAAAGATCTGTGTTGTCTTTGTTACTCCTTAGAGTTCAATGTGGTAAAGGAAGTTTGTTCTACTAAGCCTTGCATAGATAATATTCTTAATTGACCAGAAAACAAAGATTCCTTAAAAGCATATATGTATTTCAGAGAACATGACTTGGTTCATTTAGCTGCATTAGTTGACTTCCAAATTTGAAATTTGTTAAGTTTACTCTTATCACTGACTAGGGTACCTGAATTCTATCATTTGTCTTTTTATACTCATATCCCAAAATACATCACCAAAGACAAAGAAAAATAAGCTTCTGGCCCAGTTTTTGCTTAAAAATTCCAAAGCACTAGGAGCACTTTAAGTTTGGTCTTGAAGGAAGAAGTTGTTTATAAAATCAAAGGGCTACTGATTCCCTATTCATCCTGCACTGAAGCACATAATAATTTCAAACCTTCCTTTTGGTTCATTAATTACAAAAGCAAATTTCATTGCTTAAGTGTATGATTCTACAGTGATTAGCAGTATTTGTTTTCATCATTATATTTGGGTGGCCATTAATTTTCAAACTCTATCACTCATTGTAGCTGGTGGTAGTTTTACGGAAGTTGTAATTTATAGCTAAAGTGGCTTTTTTATGCATAGCTACCTTTTTTATTATTTAACAGTGTTTCTCAGCTATATAATCAGTTTCAAACTGGTTTCAGAAGTATAGCTGGGACCAATGAATGTATTTATTTGTTTCACTAAATTATAACAAAACATTACTGTTAAAAATAAAAGGTGTGTGTGCGCTTTTATTTGGAGGTATGGTTTTCTTAATCTCTCTTAATGGACTGTGTTTCTCCACATGTAAGGATAAGGTCCCTGATACTACTACAGAAAAGAAAAAAATTCCAGGAATTACAAGCAGTAGTTTGCTTTTGGTGATCTCACTATTGCTCACATCTGAACATCAAATCATTTAGTAATATTCAGCAATTTTATATGGAATGCCATATACAAGCAGTGCCAAGGTTACAAATGAGATCCACTCCTAACTGTGACTTTTAAGAATTTTTAGATGAGTTGGAACAGGGGCATACAGCCCTTATTTAGCCTTACCTTAGTGCAAGAAAAGGCTCAACACCTTTTCAATGATTTAAAAGCTGCATGTACAACAAATGAAGGTGACTGTGATAAAAGATTTGTTGCAGGTAGGGATTGGTTCAGGCCTTTCAAAATGAGGGCAAATTTACATGACATTGAAGGGTAAGTAACTAGGAACTGTATGTACCTTAAAATACCAGGAAAGCATTGGCTAATGCATGTTATTCAAATATCAAACTAAGGTCCTTATATGGAATAACTTACAACACCTCTCCCATTCCCTTTAGAGTTTTGAGAAATCAGTCTAAAAGTAGCCCATAATCCCAGGCAGCTATTCTTTGATTACTCAAGAAGAATTCCTCAAGGATACTACCCTTTCCCTTAAAAGGTTACTCTTTTTTTTTCCCAAAATAAATAGACTCTTTTCAGGTCCCCCCAAAAAACACACTGTATTTTGAATACAATTTCAAAAGCTTTATTGACCCCCTAAAGTTCACAATTTCTTGGGAGTCTACGGACTTTTGCTGTAAATAATATTTGAGTGAAGGTGTGACCTTTAATATAATAAAGTTGTCACTTTAAAAGCAATTTATTCAACAAACATTTATTAACTGTTCATATGCCAAAAACTATGCTATGGGGATGCAAAAATGAATGAAGTTCCTGTTCCTGCCCTTAAGGAGCTCACATTCTAGTAAAGAAGTTTTTAAAAAACAATACAGTACAATAAGTAATACAATAGAGGTAGGTTCTAATTACAGTGGCAGCACAAAAGAGGAAGTTAAATGATCTTGAATGGAGCAAGAGAGATTTCACAGAGGAGATATTTACGCCAGGCCTGCAAAGATACACATGAGTTTTCCAGATGGGAAGGAGGACTGGGATCCTTGATGCAAAGGTAACAGTATGCACCCAGGTGTGGAGGCTTGAACACGTGTCACATCTGGAGAATTGTGTCTGTTTCATCAGAACATTGTCAGGGTGAGAGGGATGATTTTGTACACCAAGCGAAGAAGTAGTATGGCTTTCTCCTGAAGGTCCCTAAGGTCACTGAAGGGTATTAAGCAAGGAGTAACATTTCAGAATGCTTCTAGAAATCCCACTCTGGTAGCACTGTGGACCAACAAAGAGGAGATAGGCTGGGTACAAGGAGACAAGTCAATATAGTGCTGGAGGTAAGAGCAATGAAAATGGAAGACCGTGATGTATCAGAGATATGGAGATGTAATTAGTAGAGCTTAGACACTAATTAGATAGGGGGTAGGTAGAGGGGAGGAGTGACTCTAGTAAATTAAGGTAACAGTCCTGAAATTAACTAAAGTAAGAAACATAAGCACCAGAGTAGGTCTCATAAAAGAGGAGCTACATATAGGTGTCTATGGAACAGCCAAGTGAAGACAGGCAGTAGGTAGTTGGATTGAGAGGTCTGGGCTAAGGACAGAGTTAGAAATAATCAGATTGGAATTACCTAAGAAAATAGCAAGGATAGAAGCCTAAGGAATACATTTAAGGAATAAATGAAAGGAGGCTCGAAAGGAAGGGAACAGGAATAGGTGCAATGTAAGAAATCAAACCAAAAATTTTTACAGAGTTGTGAACAATGTCAAGTGCAGAAGAAAGTCAAATAAGAAATGGCTTGTGAATCTAGCTGTGGGTTTAAAATAAGGATTTTAGACTTTACAAGAAGGGATTCTGAAGAACTACAGGACCAGAAGCCAGATTTTAGTTAAGGAACAAGTGGGAAGTGACAAAATGAAGGTAGGAATATTCTTTCACAGAGTTTGACTATTTAAAAAAAAGACATAAGGAGAGAGAAGTATACAGACAAAACTACAAATTACAACTACCATATTTCAGAATATGACAAAGTCCTTAAACTTTTATATATGGTGGTTACTTCATAATCCTTTGAGTCTCCAAGAGGACTGACTGAACTAAGTGAGTTAATGTCTCTCTTTTCCTGCCCTATTCAAAGGAAATAAGGGGGAAGAGAAAAATGGGACACATATTGTTAAATTTTGCTGTGAGTATTCATTTAAAATATTAGATACATACTCATATGTTCAGTAACAAATATTTATTGGATACTCGCTCAGTGCTTGACATTGTACCAGACACTGGGGAGGGACACAGAAAAAAATATAGACAGCAGTGTAAAGTAACATTTTCTAAACTTTAATATAAATAAACCCTGCTCCATTAATAATGTGACATCTCAACATGATACACCTGCTAAGACGTATAGAAAAGAGGGTACATGTTTTGAGGTATACAGTTTCTTCTTCTCTACGATTACTATGCAATAAAAATTTCTAAACCTCTTCAAATATTTTTATCATTGAAGACATTCCACAACAAAAACCTCCCAACGTTACAATTCAGTTTTAGTGAAGCAACAGTAATGAACCTCATGCATAAAAAACAAAAACTGCATGCCCTATTACCATACAGATCAAGCACAGAAAGGGCAACAAAACTCAAAAGGATACTGAAACTTGAAATGATCCCTTCTCTAAGATTTACTGTTACAGTTCCAGATTTGTTTTCTTTTTGTGTATGTTCTTATTAAGAACATCAATTTTTTTATTATTACTACTCAGTATTGACACTGAGGTATTCAGGCTTCAAGGGGCAGAATGCCTATAACTGACTTTTAAGTGACTGAAGAAAAAATTCTGTATGTGTGTGTATATATACAGCAGATATGAACAAAGGATGAATCTGGGTAAAAGAGCTCTTTGTATGTTCTCAAAACTTTACATTTGAAATTATATCAAAATAAAATTTCCCAAAAATTATATTCAGTATTAGGGAATGTATTATGAGAAAATTTATAAATCTAGTAAATTTTTCACAATGTTTAGAAATTGCTTATATGTCTTTGTTACTGTACTTTCCTACACAATAAACCAGCCTGATCAAAATAGTAATATAATATTAAAAGTAATTTATTTCATACCAGTGTATTTGGGGTTGCCAGATAAAATACAGGAATCCCACTTAAATTTTAATTTCAGACAAATAATAACTTTTTAGTATAAGGAAGTCCCAAATATTGCAAAGGAAATGCTTATACTAAAAACCTCTTCACTGTTTATCTAAAATTAAAATTTAACTTAGAATTCTGTTTTCATTTGCTGTATCTGGCACCTAAATATATTTTAAAAATTCAAGGGTATTCACTCCTGTGGCTTCCAGCCAAACAACAGGCAGGCAGTTAAGGTGAACATTTAAAGCAGGTGGGTACACGCTCCTTAACACAATCAATCATGGTAGATCAAAAGGACAGTGTTTGCACAGGGAGATGGCTCAGAGGGCAGGAATGCCTAGGAAAGGAGGACACACGGAAGAGGTAACTGCAGAGAGGAAGTAGGAGGAGAGCTGCTAAATTATGGGATTGCAATTAATGTCATGAAACAAAATGTGTATGAACTGCTGTATGGGAAATGAATTTGCTTTGTATTTGTAAGCTTTCACCCAAATCACAATTTAAAAAAAAAAAGAAAGATGGACTAGCAAAAAATATTGTAATCCAATCCAATACATGTTGCTAGATTTCTGATATGTTGGATCAACATAAGATTACGGGCCAATTAAGTACAATAAACATTTTATCAGTTTCTTTGCAAAAAAAAAAGTCTAGGGTATTAATTATGGGTCGTTTATGAGCCTCCTTAGCATTTCTTATTAAATGCTTGTCACATGGACCATAGTTTAATTTATACCTTCTGACACAAAACTCTTCTTGAAGAGGATTAAAACATCATTCACTTAGTTTTTACCAAATATGAACTTGATATTCCTGATTTTATTCAACATTAAAGTTTAAAATTTTTACTACATTATCAGAGTATTAATTTTACTCACAATCATATTATACAAAGACTTAACACAATTACAAAAAGTGTTTACTTAAAACAATAGAGATCTCCTCTTACAAAAGCAGCTTTATATAAAAGGTTTGGCTTAAGACTCATTGCTACTATGCTTTTGAATGAAATTCCACTCTTTGGCCTTCACTGTCCAGAAACAGGCACACTTTACCTTATTTTCTTCAATGAATATTTTGTAACAAGTTCCTGAAGGTTTCTAATTCTCTCACACTTGTAGAAATTCTGTAACCAAAAATAATTTCACTCAGAAACCATCTCAGATAAATATTCTCTATAAAAGTTAATTTTATTATATATTTTTAGAGCAAAGAAAATTTTTAAATTTATTTCAACCAAAGTAAAGGTGTAGAAACCATTTAATCTAATCTGATGCACTCTAATCCTTAATTTGACAAAGTAAAACTAATTAATATATCTGCCCAGAAATTAGTTATTTTTAAGTATTTATATACTTAATATACTGTATCCCTGAGTGGTACAAACAGGTAGGTGCTCAACTACCTGCTGAAACCTTGGTGGTTCAAACCCACCAAGACTGGTACTTTGCCTCCCAAAGCTCACTGCCTTGAAAATCCTATGGATCAGTTCTACTCTGCACATTTGGGGTTGCCATGAGTCAGAATCAACTCAACAGCAACCAACAACAACATACTTAAAGTATAATATTAAGTATATAAATGCTTATTATAATACTATAAAGTATAATATTAAGTATATAAATACTTATCACACCTACCAGTCTATAAAGAGTGAAAATAATGTGTGACCAATTTTTCTTCACTAATTTCTATAAAAATAACGTTTGTTCATTATTTCTAAGTGTCTTTTGGCTCTGTTCTCTACCATAAAAAATGTCGCAAAATATCAAATAAAACGTAACTGTCAAGCTTCTGGGTACAAGAGTAACTTGGGAGGTGAATTATTTCAAGCCTCAAATACTAAATCATTGTAATTTTTCAAAGAAATGTATCCTAAAAAATGTAATTTTTATAAATCTCTGTATTTTTTAATATGATAGACTGGAAGGAAATGAATCTATACTTCAATTTTTAATATAAATTTCTTATTTCAAGCTTATCCTGCAATCATTTTGATGAAAAATAATTATTTTTAAAAGAATTATTAACTTTTTAGTATAATGATGAATTTATGGAGAAATCTGCATGTATACCTATCTTAAGCTAGGTAAGATTTTTCCAAGACCTTTAGGAAAATATATGGGCAGCATAAAAATCTACCTTTAACAATTTAGAAAAATTATTCAAATTCAGTGAAATGAATATTAAAGTCTAATCAGTAAGTTAATTGTGATCATAACAGTCAATAGATAAAATAAACAATATTCTCTAAAGACTGTATCCACATACTTAAGGTATTTCATAAGATCATATAATTCTATATTGAGCTAATTTCACTAAGAAAGATATTTCTTACCTAGTTTTATCTAGGGAGCTCTGGTGGCATAGTGCCTAAGGCACTTGACTGCTAACCAGAAGGCTGGCGGTTCAAACCCACCAGCCCCTCCCCAGAAGTAAGGTTGGGCAATCTACTTCCGTAATGATATCACCTCGGAAACCCAAGAAAAGGGGTCACTATGAGTCAGACCCGACTTGATGGCAGTGAGTTGGGTTTTCGTTTTAGTTTTAGCGAAGTATATATATACATGTTGCATTAGACTTACTTGACTAGTCAAAATAATGTTAGTACATACAAACCTTCCAAATGCATTAAACAATGATACTATTTCTTGTCTGGTTAGATGGAATTCATAACTGGGTCCACTTTCTGGTATATTTGCTATCAGTTTCTCAGAAAACAAAATCTTCAGAGCAGTGCCCAAACCCTGTGTCTGTAAGAGAAATAAGAAAAATTGTAAAATTCTTCATGGAGAGGATAAATGAGAAATAGGGCCAAGCTAAATTTGCCTACCTGAAGCTTTCCCCACAGTCGACATTTAAAACAACCAACGCAATCCATGATTCTTGAAATATTTCTAAAATGCAGTCGAAAATCCTCCTAAAAACAATGTAGCAAAATTTTATTAAGATGTAATTTATAACCAAGTAATAGCATTTTCTGAGTACCCCCTGTGGTGGTTATGTTTTTGTGTCAATTTGGCTGGGCCTGGTTGAGTGGTGGGGCAGCTGGTGGTAGTTACTCCCCATGATGAGACTGGCCATCAACTCCATGGTGGGATCTACCACAAGCAGCTGAGTAGCTGCCTTTGGTATGTAGTCTGCTTCCTGAATATAAGGAGAAGCCCTGGGAATGGTCTCTAGCCTATGGCATGCTTGGACCATACATGTAGCTGTGTTGTTAACTCAGCAGCCTGCTACACTCTGCCGACCTTGGGACTTAACAATGGACTTAAATCAATGGCCTGCCATGTGGTTTGGTAACATTGGGACTGTGCCTTTTTCCTTGTCAACTGTGGGGCTTCTCAGCCTCAGCAGCCAGCAGCTGTCTGAGTGAAGAAATGCCTCTAGCTCCAGTGGGCCGGGAGCAGGAGGCAGAGCTAGACCCCAAGATTGAGGGGCTTTCACCCAGCCCCTAGAGCCTGGCACTTTGAACATGGACTTAAAGCCTCCATATTGTAAGAGAATAAACTCCTGTGTGTTAAGGTCATCCCATTTGTGGCATATTCTTGTCAGAGCGGCACTGGGTAACCAGAACACCCCCATATGCCTAGACTGTGCTAGGTGCTATGGGATACCAAAACAGAGGAAGGAAGGAAACGTAAGCTGAGCACTTCCTACACTCCAAAATCTGTGCATGGATAATCTCATTTAACCTTCACAATTTCAAAAGTAGAAATTATTATAATGTCCACCTAACAAATAAAGAAAGCAATGTTTTGAGACTATTATGGATTAAATTATTATCACAAAACATGGTATAACCACTATACCTGTGGCTATAATTCCATTTGAAAAAAGGGTTTTCTTTGTTATATTAATTTAGATTATAGCCAAGTAGAGTGGGTTCTAAATCTAATCATTTCTGAGTTATAAAATGAGCAGATTAGAAACAGAGATACACAGGGAAGGGAGGAAGAAGATGCTATGCGAAGATCATCTCTATAAGCCAAAGAACCAAGGAACACCTTGGACTACCTGCAAGGAAGGAAAAGACACAGCAAAGACGCTGAATTGGACTTGTAGCCTCTGGAAGTAGAAGAAAATAAATTTCTGTCCCTTAAAGCCACCCACTTGTAGTGTCCGTGTTACAGCAGCACTAGGAGACTACAATAAGATGTAGGTACCTTGCCTACGCTCCCACCTTTAATAAGCAGCAAACTCAGAATGGAGTTCTGACTCCAAAGCTACACAATCTGCAAATGTATACAAAGGTAAGTTAGTTACTTAGATGAGGTGTCTGTTGTATGTGGTAGGTTAGTGTAGAATGGTTGGAGGGCATCATTTACCAAAAATGAAAAAGAAAAGAAAAATAAAAACCTTTGGTTTCCTAATAGTTAAATTACAACTCTTCTTTCTGATATTAATTAGGTTAAACAATCAGATCTTCTTAATTATAATGATTAACAATATCATTATTATTAACACAAAAAAATATAAATGGAATATAGTGAACACTCATGTACCCACCACAGAAGTTTAGAAAGAAAACATTGCAAGTGTAAGTGAAGCCCCTGTGTATCCCTTCAGAGTCCTACATCCCACCATCTATAACTATACTGAATTAGGTGTTTATCTTTCCTTTTTTGTTTTTATATTTTCAATACATATGTATCCATGAACATTATAGCATGATGTTCTTTATAATAGGGCAACATTCATCTGGCTTATCCAACAGTAGTATCATATCCTTAAAGAATAGGGAAAAAAGAATCCAAGAACAGATCCTTCTTTTACTCCAATGGAAATTATTAACTGATTCTTCAAGGGACCACTTCCTTTGTCCTACAATAGAATCCTAAACTTCCAGTACTTTAACCAGGAAATATAGCATACATTTCAGATGGAATATACTTACTCATCTATAATTTGAGAAACATTCTCTTAATGTGATAAACTTCTTACTGGGTTCAACCAGGTGAGAACAGAGCTATAGTGTTAACAAAGATCGGAACCTGCTATTCAAAGTAGACTTCCATTTGCTCTGTGGACAGTCTGTCTCTAATGCTCTATTCAACTTAAGATTCTGAAAATGCTATCATAAGTAAAAAATTGTAATAAGATTCTTAATAGGATTCCAAATTATTAATACTGTTACTATGTATTAAATAATATTCTATATCTTATGTTTCTGTATCTTTAGGACTGTATTTGATAGAAGGCAATCATAATTTTAACCAACTTTAAAAAAAAAAAAAACCTACCCAGTAACATTAGTCTAAATAGATTTTGGTGATTTGATTTGAAATTTCCTTTCAAGCTTAAATTTTTCAAAAATCACACTTTCGAAGATGGCGGACTAGGCAGAAGGATTGCACAGACCCTCTTCAACAAAGAAAAGGGAAACCAATTAACACAGACACAGAAGATAATCTTGG